TTGATCCCTAAGTCATAATCAAACACTTCAGCATATTTATCCATCCCACAGCTTCACTAGTTAAACTTGGCATCTTTCCTTCCATACATCTGGCCTCAGCCAGTCCACAAACTATTCTCTCATGGAGTGCTGTACTTCCCCACAAAAACAGTCACCACACTTGATGATAATTACTTGTGAAGTGCTTTGAGATGTTCCAGCATGATAAGATGCAAAACAAAATTCCAGCTTCTTCTTTCTGTTTCTTTAATTTCATTCTATTCCTATCCATATATAATAATCCCTACATTTGATATAGCGCCTTATCACGTCTTCTAGACGTCTCAAAGCGCTTCACAGAATATACTGCAAAGTGCATTGACTGTATGTTCTGTGGGCGAAACACAGCAGCCAATTGTGCACAGCAGTGTCCCAGATGGATATATAGTACTTATCAATATATACTCCCAACACTGTGTTCTCAAGCAAAGATTTATTTGTTTCTCTGTAACTTAACTACGAAAGCAGTCACTTTACAGTAAATCTTAAACGCTTTGAGAGGCATCCTCCCAATGTGAATGGCACTTTATCAAATGCAAGTAGTGGTATTATAATAACTCCCTTTGCCTTGCTTCAAACTTACACTACTGCGGGGCGCCTTTCGAAGGTTTGGGAGATCTTCACACTTATACCACATGTGGGTGTTTCTTTTTTACAGTTTCAGTATCATAACTTTCAACTTTTTGAAATGTGTTTTGAAATGCTGCCATCTGCGTGGAATGAATTAATTTCAGATCCTTGGGGGTCTTACTGTTCCGCTGTGGGGGAGACAAAATATAACATGATTCGCCTTTTCATTCAAATGATTAAGAAACTTTGTGTGAGCCTGTGAAGAAGCAATTGGGCAACAAAATTCAGTGTGGCGCCGAGCACAGGGTAATGATTTTGAGGGATCTGCTGTTTAACTGTGCGGAAATGCCTAGGACTTTTTCCTTAATAAATCTGGCCCCTTGGAATTAACAGAGCAGGTTTTCGTAATTCAGTTCTATGAGAGAGACAAAATGTACCTTGATTTGCCTATTCGTTCAAATGAGGAGTATAGATCAAGACTGAGGCAGATAGATTTTTAAGTAAGGATATCAAGCGATATGGGCAAAGGCAGGTAATTAGAGTTCAGGTACAGATCAGCCATAATCTAATAGAATGGTGGAACAGGCCCGAGGGGCTGAATGGCCTACTCCTGTTCCTATGTTCCTTTATATCGGGAGGACTTATTGTGAACACTGAAGACTGTGTAATACACAACATAGTTGTTCAACAAGTTTAAAAAATGTTTTCCTGGGTCATTTTAGGGGTTGTATCATAGCAAATCTAATTTAGTGCAAAATGAATAATGCACTTCCTAAACCACGTCTGATAATAATCCTTCAAGAAAATAAAACAATAATAAATTGGTCGCTTCAAACCACGACTGTTTGTGGGACACTGCTATGTGCAATTGGCTGCCGCATTTCGCCCACAAATATACAGTCAATTCACTTTACAATATATTCTGTGAAGCGCTTTGAGACGTCTAGAAGACATGAAAAGCGCTATATCAAATGCAAGGATTATTATTATTCTTAAGAGGCAGGTAAATTTTAATACAGCGATGAATTGCAGTGCAGCCACACCACTTTTTAAAAAATAAATTTTAACAGATTTGGAATATGACCCATGACTCGCATTGAATGAACTGTCAATAAATGTCCACTATGCTTTCAGCAGGATGGAGTTACACACCATTCTAGGCCCATTTTGTTTCAACATCACATTTATATTCTTTTCTAAGGCTCGTGACTAAGTAGAAACCAACCTTTTGAAATTTCCAGGATCATGTGAGCCGATTTGCTCCTGAGCATCCAGACAAAATCCCACCATGCTGATGTAAAGCGCTGCAGTATTTGAATGTTGGTTGCTTGATTGACACCAGTCTGTGTGTGTCATCCTGAGCACAGCAGTGCCGAATGCAATGCAGTGTTTCTTGCTCTATCTTTTGACTGGATTGCACTATGCTCCAGCACACGCAGGAATTAAAATTTACATAAAACAAAAAGATTGGGAATGTCAGAAAACTGAACTTCAAATTAAATAAAGTTGCTTGGAAGATCATGTCTGATGAAACGGCCTCTGGAAGAGAAACCGGACAGGTTGATGTTTCAGCTTTGACCCTCCATCACTTCCCTGCCGTGACGAAGGGTCATAAATAAAATACACTCTACGTTTGGAAGTCTGGTGAAATGTTTTATGCAATGGCTGATGATGCTTGTCCTGGCCACACACATGGAGTGTACCCTTTCCCATGTGCACTGAAGAGTGGTTGAGGAGTTGAACTAATTCTGTTGAAAGTTGAGAGATAGATGATAAAAATCCCATGGCACTATTGGAACTAGAAAGGAGTTTCACCCGGTGTCTTGGCCAACCAGCCTCCCAAATAAAATTAGTCAATTACTTCAATTACTTAGTCAATTAGTTAGCACTCCATTCTGTAAGATCATGGCTGATCTGTACTTCAAGTCCAATTTCTTGCCTTTGCCCCGTATCCCTTAATACCCTGACCTAACAAATATCTATCCACCTCAGTCTTGAAGATGTGAATGGATCCAGCATCCACAGCCTCTTGAGGGAGAGAGTTCCAGATGAAAAGATTTTAATTTCTTAATTTCCTCCTATATGATTTAGCTCTAATTTTAAGATTATCCCCCCTTTTTCTGGATTCCCCCACCAGAGGAAATAGTTTCTCAGTAGCTACCCTTTCGAAACCCTTTATTATTTTAATAATAAATAATTGTGGGACATTGCTCCGTCTGCCGTGTTCCCTATAAAATATAGTTACTACACTTTACAGTAAATACTATGTCAAATTCAAGGATTGTTATTGTATAAATAAGCATCCTTTCATTTTAATATAGCACCTCATCATGCTGTCGAAATGCATATCCCAAAGCATAGTGATTAGAGCACTCGCCTCACAAGCAAGAAGATCTGGGTTTGATTCCTGGGCAGTGCAAAACCTTAGGCAAGTTTCCTTACTACACACGTCTCTGTTTACCTAGCAGTAAGTAGGAACCCAATTGTTAGGAATTAGCAGATCGCTTTCCATGGGGTAATAACCCCTCAAAAAAAATGTTGGTCACTCAATCTACAACTGTTTGTGCAATTCGCTGCCACAAAATGCAGTCCATGCACTTTACAATACATTTGTGAAGCAGTTTGAGACATTTCAACGATGTGATAAGGCGCTATATCAAATGCAAGGATTATTATATTTGTGGGCAAACTCGACAGCCAATTTCCACACAGCAGTTTCCAACAAACAGCCATGAAGTGAAAAACCAATATTTATCTAGACGCTTGTTGGCCACTGGAACAAACTCCCTTCAATATTCAAATAAATAATAGCCTGGGAATTTCTCTGTCATATTCTTATTGTGGAGATCAGCACTATTCAGTGTTTGAATAGTGTTTGAAATGTGCTGATTTCTAAAAGGACTACCTTAATAAATGGGTATTCCTGGTAATGGAAAGTACTTTAAGCTCAGCATTCTGACCCTGGGAAACATTGTTGCAAACCTAGTTCTAGACATGACAGAGTCCCTGTAAATTAATACAACCTGCTCCAGTTTTCTTATTAGGGAAATCCTATAGAAGTGACCACACGTTAGGCCCAATTGTTCAGGACCGCACGTGCATGGCAGTGACGTTTATAGCACGTTTCCCAAAACACTTAACAGTACCAGCTGCGCACCTGAGCTTGGGATGGGAGCTGTGGGGGGAAGTGAAAGATAACAGAAACTTATCTGTCAGAGAGGTAGGTCCTGAAACTGACCTTGAACTCTGAAATTGTCAAAGACGAAGGTGTTGAGACTGACCTTGAATGGACTTAGTTCCAGAGAGTGGGGACAGACAGGCTGACAGTCTACCCGCTGCTGGTGTTAGAAAATAAAATCAGCCATAATCCATTTGCAACCAGATATCAGACTGTTTTATTATTATTCGTTCGTTATTCCCCAATATCCCGATGGGCTAAAGGCCGGTACAATCAACGGATCTTACAATAGAATAATACCACCGTAAATATCTCGAGTTCAACACTGTGTCTGTACAACACACAAGCTTGATTCTTCATGCTTTCAGTCTTCTTGCTTACAGCTTCCAATCTTCCATCTGATATCCTCAGTCTTAGTGTTTCTAGCTCTCAGTCTTCCATCTCCGTACCCTTGTCTCCGCAGCCCGGGATGGCCCCATCTCCCGTACCCTTGTCTCCGCAGTCCGGGATGGCCCCATCTCCCGTACCCTTGTCTCCGCAGTCCGGGATGGCCCCATCTCCCGTACCTTTGTCTCCGCAGTCCGGAATGGCCCCATCTCCCGTACCTTTGTCTCCGCGACCCGGGACGGCCCCGTACACAAAGTTATCGGAACTCTTATACCAATGTTCGTCCAATCATGTTGCGGACATTAGATCACCTGTCGAAATCATGCTGGATTCACGTTAACATCTCATGGGGTGTACGTGCCTCAGCACACATACACATTGTCCTTAAGACCCCTGTTATCTGATGCTTGTTATTTTGTTAGGTGTGATCATTAGTACATTCCTTTTAAGTGACTGGTTATTTCTTATCAGTATCCCGGGATGGTACCAAGGCCCTCTAGTTTAAGCAACTTGCTCGTTAGCTGCTATTCTTGAGGGTTGCCTTTTGTTGCTCTTGAGTGTTAATCATGAGTGTCAGTCCAGTTGCCCCCCCCCCACTTAACTTAAAAGTTAACCCGTTCGCAACATCTATTATGATTCTAACATTATACAAAAAGTGTAAATTCTAACACTGGTGGAGCGGGTAAGATGAATCAAGCTGGGGCTTACTGAGCAAAGGGAGTGGCTGGGTTAGTATGGTCATGGAATTATATGGGTTTATAATTCTGTACCAGGTCCCAAACTTTCAGTGCTTAAGAAAACTAATAATTGAACTCTGTTTTCACAGTGGAAGAGGACACTGAAGAGAGTTCCAGGTCAGGCAGAGAATCTGTATCAACAGCGAGTGACCAGCCATCTCTCACCGCTGGATACTTGTCGGGCACAATGGAGAAACAGATCAACGGTTCGAGGAGCAAAGAGGAAAAAAAGAAGGAGAAGACTGGCAAAGACAGAGAAAAGAAGAAAGATAAAGACAAAGAGAGGGAGAAGGAAAAGAACAAAGCAAAGAAAGGGATGCTGAAGGGTCTTGGAGACATGTTCAGGTAAATGTTGTCTCTGGATAACTGATTGTTCTTTGTAGTGTTTGAACAAATCAGTGTAAATAAAGTGTTTGTATTTGTCTATTTAAATTGGTATAAAAGCTAATAAATATTGAAGTAATGGGGAGTGCGTCACAATGACCCCGCTGTTGGCAAGAATTGTAACAGAAGATAAAAAGTTTTTTTTGTAATGCTGAGGGCTGTTAGAACATGGAATGTTTTACCACAAGTGGCTGTTGAAGCTGAGGAAGGAATTGGAAAATACTTAAATAAAACTCCCATTGAAGGGGATGGTTAAAGAGCAGGGCAATGGCATTCGACTGGAGAGGGAGCTGGTAGCTACAGATCTGTTCGGCCGCTTGGTCTTCTGTTTGTGTTGCAGATTCTCTTTTGATACTCGTGAAAACTAGTGTGAAGAAATCGCACGAGTGAGCGCTGTCTCGTCTTGCATGAGTACAATGGCAGAGTGATTGTGTCTTGCTTTGTCCAGTTGATTTTCTTAAGTTCATTAAAAACCCAGTTGAAAGTCTCCAACGTCCTGGCTGATGCAGAGACATAGTAAACCTCTTCAATAATCGAGGCATAGGAAATTATAGAAACCTGCAGCACAGAGAAAGGCTACTCAACCAATTGTGCCTGTGCTGGCTCTTTTGAAGAGCAGTCCAATCAGTCCCATTTATCTGTTTTTTCCCCATATCCCTGGAACTTGCATCTATCTGCGAGTCTTGCTTGCAGAGATACGTATCCAATCTCACTGCTGGTCGTGACACGTTCTCCCTCTGTATATGTGTTGGGTTGAGCACATGTTTCCTAAGAGACAGTAAATGGAGCCAATGTTGAATTCACAGTCTCCATAATGCACTAATGCGATTCACAAGCTGTCCTGTAATTAACAAAACAGATGTCAGTTATTCTTGAGATCTGCTTCAAAATAATTTGCTTTTTTGTGGCAATTTAGATTCGGAGATTATGGGCATCATGTGTTCGAAATGACGAGTGGATTTAGATTAATGTTTTGGGATTAAAGTGTGTGGTGTTGCAAGCGTGTGATAAGTGCTGGTGCTTCGTAAGCCTTGAGCTTTTCGGTGTCAGGATTTCTGTCTGACTACTTCTTATTGGTGTCAGTCTTGCTCAGTTGGCAGCTCTCTCTCTCTCTCCTCAGAGTCAGTCAGAAGGTTGTGGATTCAATCCTCACGTTGGGAAGCATGATACAGTGCTCCAAAGTAGCCCAGAATCATTATTGTGTGTTTCCTAAGATTTGCTGCAAGATCTGAACATATAAACTTTAGAAATTTTTATGCTGTTATTTTGCCATTATGATAAATTTCAGGAAGGCATGGAATGAAGCTCACTCATAGTAGTAAACTGACACTGTTGTGCAATGCTGCACTCTTTGTCCTGTCTATCTGAGCAGGTGGATATGAAATATCCCATGGCACTATCTGAAAAGAGAAGAAAATATTTCCCAGTATCCTGGCCAATTATCTCCTTGATAAAATTGATCATTCACTTCATGGTTTTGTTTGGGACAAAGCCCTGTGCAAATTGGCTAATGTGTTCATCTACAAAATACACAGTCACTAAACTTTACAGTATGTCCTGTGAAACCCTTTCAGATATCCTCCCAACATCAAAGACTCTAAGCCAAATTTATAGATTGCTGTTATAATTATCGGCCAGGAAAACATTACGGCAAGGGAAAGTGAGTTTCATTTGCAAAACCTTGTGAAGTGGTGTGTTTTTTTCCCTCTCAAGGCTTTCATCTCCTCGGTACAGTGGTTTCATTTGAAATATTATTTAGGCAGATTTTTTTATTTGATTTGAATTATTCCTTGCAATGGACTGAATCGATGTAACTGATACTCGGAGTTTAAAGCCTGGGGTTTTGTCCAGGGACTCTTCATGCAACGATTCTATCTGACAGCTTCTATACGTGCTCCTCCATAATGTTGCGCACAAAGTCTGGCATTCCTCAATTAAAATTGCAGGATTTTGTACTCGGATCCTCATTAAGTCACGGTATAAGTAGCCAAATCCCAGAAGAGGAAGCATGTTACACTGCTCCCACTTTAGCTTGGAATCATTACTGTGTGTCTCCCAAATGGATTTGCTGCAAGATGTGAACGTATAAACTTTAGAAATGATTATGCTGTTATTTTGCCATTATGATGAATTTCAGGAAGGTACGGAATGAAGCTCACTCATGGGGATTGCAATTAATTGCAACCATAGAGAAAAGCTGTATTAGATGTTCTCAGAACATCACCAGAACACCTGTACGTTGCCCATTATTTTTAGAAGACAAGTAACTGGAGTCGTCAAATGAGATGCCATGAGCGCATTTAAGCTTTTATGGGTTGATCTCTTCTAATCTGAGGACAGTGATCAATTATCACAGGATGGAGCTGCTGTGCACTGGAAGCAGTTGGCAAAATCTAAGAGTCTTTTTTTACATTTTCTGTCTTGGTCTGACAAACTATTAAGCCTCATCAGTTCCCTCACTTGCCACTTTTTATTCCTGCGTTTCCTATTTCCTCTTAAAAAGAAAAACAAAGAACATCTGGGTATCTGCAGAACTGCAAGGATTTCCCAGATCCGCTTTGAAGAAGCTGTCACTGGCATCCCATTAATGCGCACTGCAATGCTAACCCAGAACAGGATTCCCAGATGTGAGCAGCACTAGGTGTGTCGGGAGCGAATGTTTTAATTTTTGAATCTGAATTTCTCAGCTTTTGCATTGTGGTGGATGCCCTGAGATCATCTCCTCATATATACTAGGAGTGTATAAATAATTTGTTTGTGGTACACTGCTGTGCAATTGGCTGCCACGTTTCACCCACAAAATACACAGTCACCATACTTTAGTATTTATTCTGTAGAGCGCTTTGAGACGTCTCAACAACGTATTACGGCTCTATATCAAATGCAAGGATGATTATTATTATTATCTTCTCTCTCTCCATTTGCCCACAAAGTATACAGTCAATTCAGTTACAGTATATTCTGTGAAACACTTTGAGACATTTCAACGATGTGATAAGGCACAGTATTAGTCATAATAATAATCTTTACATAATAATAAATCAATAATAATCTTTACATAAAAATAATGCCATAATAATAATCTTTATATATCAAATGTAAAGAAGATTATTATGACTTATTATTTTTATTATCCAGTGCTTTGGGATGTTCTCCAACATGAAACAAATGTTATTTGCTGTTATTAGAATATCACATCTTTTACTGTATCTCTCTACTCTATCTCTCTACTTGCCTAACTTGTGGAGTGCATATTCTGCTGTGGTATCTATTCTGTACCTAAGCCATTTGGGGCACTGTGGGGCACAGGCTGTTTGCTGCCCGCACCTGCCACTTTGAAGCAAGCCCGTGCTGACACTTCCCTTTTTTTTATTTAAGTGGAGGATGAAGATGCCTGAACTTTTCAAGTAGAGTTGATGCTGTGCTGCCGGGGGAATGATCTAAAATTTTAATGAAGTTGGGTTTCCCAGCAGAATGTTTAAGTATTGATGACCCAAAAGCAGGAAGAGATCTGAGTAGACAGGAGGGTAGACATTCCACCTGGGTCCAGATGCATTTCAGAGGCTCCAGAATTTTGTTGAAAGATTATTGAATTCAGCCTTCGTAATCCTTGTATTTGATAATACAAATACAAGGTGCCTTGTAATGATGTTGGTGTCAACGATGTGCCTTATCATGTCGTTGAAACATCTCAAGGTGCTTCACTGGAATTACTATGAATGGTTGTGACTGTGTGAACGCAGCAGCCAGTTTGTGCACAGCAATGTCCTACAAATAGCCGTGAAATGAATGACCAATTTTATCTGGGGATTGTTGGCCAGGACACAGGGGGGAGCTCCCTTCTCTTTAACACCCTACTATCCTGCTCGCTCCCTCCGCTCAGCGGGCTCCAGGGTGCTTCACATACCCCACCTCACTCGCTCCACTATTGGCAGGTGGGCCTTCTGCCACTCTGCTCCCACCCTTTGGAACTCCATCCAACAGTCCCTCCACCTCGTCCCCTCCCTTGTCTCATTCAAGACCCATCTCAAGACCCTCTTCTTCGAATGTGCTTTTGACCTCCCTGCTCCCCCCCTGCCCTTCACCCTCTCTGATCCCGACCCCCAGCTCGGGTCCAAAACTCTGTCTGTCCATCGTCTTGGGATGTCCTCCCAACATGAAAGGCGCTATAAAAATTTAATTTTGTTGTTGTTGTAAATCGTGCCATGCGATCCTTAATAGCCTCCCGAACATGCAGGCGGGATCTTGGTTCAAGATGAGATAATGGGTCTTACTACGTAAACATGCAACCAATTAAATTTCCTGCTCACCGCCTAGTTCCCATGTTAAAAGAAAAAATGTCTGAGTTCTGGTTCATTGTGTCTCAGCCAACATCCTGTTTTCTGCACATGTGCAAAGCAAGAAGTTATGATCTTGGTGACTCCTGAACTGAAAGCTAACAACTTTTTTTCATGGCCCAGAAAGTTAAAGTGTCTGGATTATTAAAACCCTTCCAATTTTACTTCCTGCTTTGCACATGAGTAGCAAAGCAGGAAGTGATGTGGGAGGTGACCAAATGACCCGGAAATCATCCATTTTAGCATGGAGAGCCAGCGCAATCATGAGAATAACAATAACAATAATCCTTGTTTTTGATATACTGCCTTATCATGGCTCAATGTACTTCACATACAGCTATAGTGTAAAGTGTAGTGATTTTGTGGGCTAAAGGCCGAGAAGCGTGGGGACCAGCTACATACTTGTGATGGAGAATGTACAGTGAATGGGGTCCACAGTTCAATTGCATTATAAGGGAACTCGCACCCCAGTGAAGTGGGTTATAATGGGACCACTCCATAATATTGTAAGGCTTTCTGAGACGTTTGTTTTTGTATAAGAAGCACTATATAAATGGGAGTTTCCAAGATGACGTAAATTGTCTCCCAGGAAAAAGGAATTTAACATTGCCTCCCAGGAAAAAG